GTTTTAGTTCATGCAACACAACTATAAGAAGACATTTTTTAAATTAATTATTTTTTTAAATTTTTGGTGTTGGTGTGATGCATCGTCTGTCATTAAGGCTGGCAGCTGTTTTGAGCATGTCTCTAATGAGAAAGCATACTTGTTCTTCTGACAAAAGTATTATTATTTTTTGCATTGTGACCTAAGCATTGTAAAGTCTAATTAGCCTTTAAAGCTAAACCTGAAGACAGCAGCTTGTCAAGCTGATGACACTTTAGCTATTGAATAGGGTTGGGCAATATTGGCAAAAAAAAATAATCACGATTAATTGTGGTATTTAGCCAATAACGATTAATTTGACAATCCCCTGGAGTCCCTGGACACCCTTATGTCCTAGTCACATGACCAATTTAGTGGGAAAGATTTGCTCTTTGAAAAAGTCTGTTCCAAATTGTGTCAAAATTACATACTTCAGGCTATACATCAACTTTTAAATTGTGTTGATTAGATAAATAAATTACAGAACTTTTTTTTAATGTTCAACATATTTGAAGCAGAGAGGAGCACCGACCTGACTGACTGCCTGCTGGCATTAATTGTATTAATCGTCAAGTGCCAAAAAATAATCAATTAATGTTTTTCTGACGATTAATTGCACACGATAAGATTATGCCCAACCCTACTGAGTAGAGGGTATTACTGTGTGCAGCACAGTGAAGGTGGACCAGAGAAAGCAAAGGCAAGAGCTGTTTGAGCAAACACAAAATAAAACTATAAATATTCTTGTTAAAGGTAAAGACTACAAGATCAACTCCAAGCAGCTTCAATGTTCCTCTGACCACAGCTGCCTATTTCAGGGGTCCCCAAACTTTTTCCTGTAAGGGCCACATAACCTTTCCCTTCTCTGGTGGGTGGCCGGAGTCAGTTTGTAACAGAAAAAGTGTGACTATTGCAGGAGTGCCTAAATGTAAAAAATTATTGTTTTCCAGGAAGAACAATAAGTAAGTAAGTAAGTAAGTAAGTAAACTTTATTTCTATAGCACCTTTCACAGACAAACATCACAAAGTGCTTCACAGAAAACAAAAATAATTAAAAACTATCAAATAACCCTCTCTGGGTTCTTCACAGTATGTATTCTGCTGAGCTAACAGTCCACTTTTTAGCTTTGAGAGTTTGTTTGATCACATTTGGCCTTGCAAGCTATCATACTTGTCTTTGTGACGGGATTCATAGTGTCGCCGCAGATTGTATTCTTTGAATACCGCCACCGCCTCTTGACAGACGAACAAAAAAATAATCATTTGTCCACTGCAGCTTAAATGCCCTGCATTCTGAATCAATTTTTCTCTTACCTAATCTTTTCGCCATTATTCCATTCTCTCTTTGAGAGGGGCGGGTTTAGGATTTTTTTCTGGGGGTTGCCAGATAGGAGCACAGACCGCAGAAGGGTGGAACAGAATGTCACGTTATATGTGTGTATGTATGAAATAG